TTGACCGAAACATGATTGCCTGATCAAAATGGAATTGATAGAAACTGCAAAACACAACTTTTACAGCATACCTCTAACACATTTAGCACCCCTGTCAACAATCAAAGAGCGCAACATATCCTCCAGCGTCTGTATAGTCCGCTCTGTCTGTCCGTCAATCTTGGGATGATAGGCTGAACTGAATGCTAGCTTCGTACCCATTGCCTCGTGTAAACTCTGCCAGAATCTACTGGTGAATCTCGGATCTCTGTCTGACACGATAGTAACAGGTACTCCATGGAGTTGAACGATCCCACAGACATAAATCTCAGCCAATCTATCCAAAGACATACTCATCGATACTGGCAAGAAATGTGCCACCTAAGTCAATCTGTCGAGCACGACCCAGATAGCATCGTGATGTTCAGACGACCTCGGTAACCCCGTGACAAAATCCATCGCAACCTCCTCCCACTTCCACCTCGGAATTGGCAGTGGTTGTAGAAGGCCTATAGGACTCTTGTGCTCGGCTTTAACTTGCTGACAGGTTAAACATTTCCTTACAAAGTCGGCTACGTCTTTCTTCAATCCTCCCCACCAAAACGACCCTTTCAGGTCATGATACATCTTTGTACTTCCTGGATGGGCTAGGTATGGTGCGGTATGAGCCTCAAATAAAATCTCCTTCCTCAATGCTTCGACCTTCGGCACCACAATCCTGCCACGAAATTCCAAGGCCCCATCAGTGCCTCGGTGAAAACCCTCGACGCCTCCGGCATGAATCTTGGCGTCAATCGCACGAATAAACTCATCTGAAGCCTGCTCTTGCCGGACCCTCTCCCTCAGCGTTGGCTGAACCTGCATGGAACTGACACTCCCCGTACTGGCTGTAGGAAATACATCAATCACCTGAATCTGCATCCAGGCGAACTCCTGAATCAACTGAATTTGCTGAGTAACAACATATGTCAAGTCACCCTTCACCTTGAGGCTTAGGGCATCAGCAACAACATTCGCCTTTCCCGGATGGTACTGAATCGTACAATCATAATCTTTGATGAGCTCTAACCAACGGCGTTGTCTCATGTTAAGCTCCTTCTGAGTAAAGATATACTGTAAGCTCTTATGATCGGTAAAGATTTCGCATCGACGGCCGTATAGATAGTGTCGCCAAATCTTAAGGGCATGAACAACTGCAGCTAATTCCAAGTCGTGCGTCAGATAGTTCTGTTCATGTGGTTTAAGCTGGCGTGAAGCATAAGTGACGACCTGGCCATCTTGCATAAGTACACATCCCAAACCCTGCCTCGAAGCATCGCTATAGATGGTGAAGCTCCGAGAAGGATCTGGAATAGTCAACACCGGTGTCGTCGTAAGCCTCATTTTTAGCTCCTGAAAACTTGACTCACAACGGTCTGTCCATTCTAACTTTGCAGACTTCCGCGTCAGCTAGGACAAAGGAAGGGCAATCTTCGAGAACCCCTCAATAAATCTGCGATAATAACCTGCAAGACCGAGGAAACTACGAACCTCAGACGGATTCTTCGGTGCTGACCAATTCTGAGCTGCAGCAATTTTGGAAGGATCAACTTCAATACCTGCTTAAGTGATAATATGGCCAAGAAAAGCCACTCGCTGAAGCCAAAACTCGCACTTGGAGAATTTTGCATATAACTTCTCGCGTCTAAGGGTCGAAAGAACGGCCCTCAGGTGCTCCTCGTGCTCCTTCTGGCTCTTGGAATAAATAATAATATCGTCAATGAAAACAATTACGAACTGGTCGAGAAAAGGATGAAATACACGGTTCATCAAGTCCATGAATACTGTCGGGGCATTACTGAGGCCAAACGGCATAACCACAAACTCGAAGTGACCGTATCTCGTACGAAAGGCTGTCTTGGGTATGTCTGACTCCTTGATTTTCAGCTGATGGTAGCCTGAACGCAAATCAATCTTGGAAAACACACAGGCACCCCTCAGCTGATCAAATAAATCATCGATCCTGGGAAGTGGATATTTATTCTTGATCGTCAAATGGTTAAGATCATGGTAGTCGATACACATACGCATGGATCCTTCCTTCTTCTTAACAAAAAGAACTGGTGCTCCATAAGGAGAAACGCTCGGTCGAATAAAACCGAGATTCAGCAACTCTTGAATTTGGGTCTTTAATTCTTGCAACTCTTTAGGCTCCATTCTGTACGGTGCCTTCGAAACGGGTCCGGCTCCGGGGATAAGATCAATAGAAAATTCCACCTGTCGGCTAGGCGGACCTCCGGGAAGCTGGTCTAGAAACACGTCCACGAACTCATGAACGATAGGAATGTCATGAGGTGAACGTGCCTTTGGCTCATCTCCAACGAGGCTCACAAGATAACCCTGGCAATCACCCCGTCGAAGAATCTTTCTGGCTTTCGCCATAGAAATAACATGGGGTAGAGTACGAGTCCTGGAGCCATAATAAGTGATCTGATTATCTTCCGGAAGATAAAGAGTAATCTCCCAGTCGTGACATCGGATATCTGCGTGAAAACGTGCTAGCCAATCCATACCGAGTATGAGATCAAAATCCCTCATCTCGATAACATAAGCATTAGTAATCAGAATACGGCCGCCGATGGAAAGGCTGAGATCGGTGGCTCTAGCGTCAGTCACTATCTTTCGTCCCGAGGCTAAACTCACCTCGAGAGGATCGATAGCGGTAGTGGAACGAACCCCAATAGCTTCGAGACATCGATGTGATATAAAAGAATGGGTCGCTCCGATATCAAATAAGGCATAGACAGTCACATCATTAAGAATAATCATCCCGGACATGGTACCTGGGTGCTGGTCAGCCTCCCTCTGGTCAACTGCAAAGATGCGGGCCTGCTGTCTGCCACGTGGCTGTTGCTGG